GGCTTTTTTCTTTTTGCTTATGTGGTGCTGAGGAATCAAACCCAGGGCCTCAGGCATGCAAGGCAAGCGCTCTACCACTGAGCCACCTTCCCAGCCCAAGTATCATTATTCTTATATGGTATAATCAATTAAGGCTGTGTGTGCATGCATGCACACACACGTGCCAGTACTGGGGCTTGAACTCAGGACCTTGTGCTCTTCCTTAGCTTTTTCACTCAAGGCTGGCATTCTACCACTTGAGCCATACCTCTACTTCTGGCTTTTTGGTGGATAGTTGGAGATAAAGAGTCTCATGGACTTTTTCCTGTCCAGGCTGCTCTCCAACTTTGATCTTCAAATCCCACCTTCCTGAGTAGCTAGGATGACAGCTGAGAAGTGCCAGCACCCAGATAAGAATTCTGTTTTTTTCCGTTCAAATCCTGCTCATCTTCTTTTACTTGAAAAAAGAAAATCAGTTATATAGCATTTTGACTGCTACAAAAAAAATCTCACTTTTTGTAAGAGGTGGTTAATACTTTGAACACATCAATTACTGACCTTTGTTCTCAAACAGAGACTGAGTTTCTGGACAGTATAACACCCTTTGCCCTGGGCCTTTTTGACCGATGCTTTTTTGAAATCCAGGTCTGGCTCCTTGTGAGTTGGGTTTATGTTGCAGCTAGAAAAGCACAGTTGATGATATTCCAAAACCCAAGATGTTGAAAAAGTCCTATTTTCTGGGTAGAAAACAGGAGATAAGCAATGGCCAGCAGCCAGCGTCTTACTGGCCACTTAAACTTCTATTTTACTTCATTTTATTGTTCTACCACTTGAGCTACAGCTCCACTTCCAGATTTTGCTGATTAATTGTAGATAATAGTCTTTCATACTTTCCTGCCTAGGTTGGTTTTAAACTGTGATACTATGGAAGTGGAGATGTGGCTCAAGTGGTAGAGCACCAGCTTTGAGTGGAAAAGCTAAAGGACATCATTCAGACCCTGAATTCAAGCCCCAGTCCTAGTACTAATAAATGGATGAATGAATGAATAATAAATAAGTATCAAAAGCAAAAAGAAAGAGTGATTAGAGTATGGTAAGATCCCCTGCCTAGCCAGCACAAGGCTCCGAGTTGAAACCCAATACTGAGGGTCTGCGGGTGGGAGTCAAGTCATAGAATGTTTTATGGCATATGCAAATGATTGAGTTCCATTTCCAAGTTAAAAATTGCACACCCAAATTACATTTCATCCACATCTGTTGTATAAATTTAGTGTATTGTGTGTAATGTGTTTGTGTACACAAAAACAAAAAGTTTGTGAAGAGAATGCTCACACACTGACAGAAAATGCAGGGGAGACTGCAGTTCAAGACCAGCCTGGACTATATAGTGAGATCTAGTCACAGAGAGAGAAGAGAGAGACAGACAGGGGCAGAGACAGACAGGGAAAGAGAGAATACTTCAAGCCATGTAGGACAATACATTTGAACAATTTATCTTGTCATCATTTGTGCAACCAGTGAGAGCTCTCTCTTTGTAACACTTTCCAGGCCTCTCATATTACTCTCATTTTTTTTCCTTTAAGTTGACTCTTAGACAGGTCGAACATCCCTAATCTGAAAATCAGAAATGCTTTGAATTCCATGACTTTTTGAGTACTGATGAGATACAAGTAGAAGATTTGACACATTGAAACTTTTGATTCATGTGCAATTTTTCCTTTCCTTTCCCTTTCCCTCCCTCCCTCCCTCCCTCCCTCCCT